CGTTAACCTATGCCGCCATCTTGGTTTCTCTCTTACATTCTTCCAGATATTTGTTAAATCAATTAATAAGTAATGGCTCAGAATTAACTTGACAATTTAGTGAATGCTCACAGTAGTTAAGAGTTACCCTGGGTGGCCAGATGAACTATTACTAATATTAATTAAACAATAAATGAATTACTGTTAATTTAGTACTTATATGTATCTATGGCTTTGTAGCAGAGATCGGCCATGTTCCAGTGCACAAGTGGGAACACTGACATTTTCAGTGCATCTGCTGGGGTAGAAATGAGCGGGGAGTTCCCCACAGTTTACAGAGAGCGTTACAGAACAAAAAGCTGAAGAGTAAATGTCGCAAGGTGACAAAGAGAATTAGTGAGTAAACCAGAACTAAAACCCAGTCACCTGCTCTCTTCTAACAAGACTCCAGCTTATTGTAGCTACGAATTTGGAATCTGCCACAGAGAGGAAAAAGTGGTACCAAGGCAAGAAAGTAAAACCACTGTTGCCCTTCGGGCCCCTATTAGGCATTTTAACAGTTACTATGTATGGAGAACTCAACTATTAACATATACATTTACAATCCAATACTTATGAGGAAAAAGTCATATAAAATAATGACATTAATGGAAACCATTTTGTTTGGAGTTTTTTTAATTTAAAAATAACTTTATAGAAGTTTATTGCAGAAAAGTTGTAAACACAGGTGAGGAAAACTTAATTTCATTACCACCGTATAATACACAGTATGTGTACTAGTATATCCTCCTAGTCATTTGTGTACATTTTTATTTTTTTAAAAAGGGATAAAACTGTACACATCTTATAACTTAAGCTTTCCAATTAATAAATTGTAACCATCTTCTTATGTCAGTAAACACATTATTTTAAACTGAGGAATTCCATTGTGTTTATTATATGCTAGGTCCCCATGGTTGAAAATTCAAGTTGTTCCTAATTCTTTCCCATTATAAACAAGGCTGAGATGAACATGTTAGAGCTAAATCTTTTTGCCTGTGTTCAATTATTTCCATAGGATAGATTTCCAGAAGTAGACTTGCTAGGTCAAAGGGCTGCATTTGGAATTTTTTAATTTAAGCACAAACATCTGTTTCAAATATATTTTTAACTTGTCTTTCTAGTTTCTTTTTTAGAAACAAAAACTATGATAAATGCACAGCAAGCCCCAATGGAGATTGGTTGATTGAGCATCTCCTTACATATTCCCTTTCTCTCTCCTTTCAGGAAAACAACATCCCCAAGTTAAGAAGAAGGAAGGAGGAACGATGAAAACAAAACAATGATGTTGATCCCGATTAAGAAAGACTGGTGGCACCACTCACATTCAGGGACATAAAATTCCATCATCAGAGGCATACACAGAACACTGCATTAGGCACCGTGATAAGATTTCGAAGAAATTAGATATGTAGGTCTAGTCCTAGCCCTAGAGAAGCTTAAAGTTTAGTTCTAAAGCAAAAACATTAACTCCTTGACAAGACTCAGAAACATATAACAAGTCCACATGCAAGAGGTAAAGGGTAGGTAACTCAGTTAACTGAAATAATTAGGTAAAGCAAGGGATCATAATGAAAAGGTACATTGAACATTTTATTATAAATTAATGCTTGAAGAACATTTATGTACAATCTCTGAATTTTCAAGGAATTTCCTTTTGGAATAGGTCCATTATTGAAGTCTTCTAATGCTTTGGTCAACCAGTTCCTTTTGGGGGTTCCTTAAAATGCTTTTTAAATTTTTTAATAAATTAAAATTCATAAATAAAAATTAACTAAAAATTGTCTCCAGTATTTACTTTCTCACCATACCCAATTCTATTTTAATTGGTTTTAGAAAGTCACTCTTACCCAGTCTATTCCAAACATCAGCATGGTTTTCAGGGAAGCAAATCTCTTTCCCAGCTCCTAGGTCATAATGGACATCCATCAGTGAGCCTCCCAGAGGAATGGAGAGCAGTTCACACAAAGAGTTAAACAGAGAAGTCTGTTATTTCTCTTACACAACATGAGTGTGTGCCTCAGATCAAATCCAGATGGCATCTCCTCAGTAATTACCCTTCTGAGGTGAAATGGTGAACAACTAAATCAAACGTGTAACTTCCAGTTTTTCATGGTGGTGTTAGCGGGCCAACAACATAGGATGTCAACCCAACCTAACCCGATCTGTGAGGACAGACTCTATGGGATACTTTAGACATCCCTAGACCAGCCAGTAATTTTCATCCTAAGAAACTGATAGAACCTATTGACAGGTACAGGATCTGGAAGTACATTTTAAGAAGGAAAACATGTGCCCAGCCAGTGTGGCTCACTGGTTGAGCATCGACCTATAAACTAAGAGGCCATGGTTCGATTCCTGGTCAGAGCACATGCCCAGGTGGCAGGCTTGATCCCCGGTGAGGGGTGTGTAGGAGGCAGCTGATCAATGATTCTCTCTCATCAATGATGTTTCTTTTTCTCCCTTTCCTTCCCTCTATAAAATCAATAAAATTTTTAAGGTAAAACATGTGAGCTATAGGCATAAGATTCCTTTGAGATAATATAAAAATCATACTACACTAGTCTGGTAAAAGCGCTGATATCATAAGCTGCCCTGGACTGAAAGTCATGACCTCTGAGTTCTAGTCCAATTATGTAAATAGCTCTGTGGTTTGTGCAAGATACTGAGCCGCTCTGAGCTCCCCCTTCCTAATCTGTTGAATGAAGTGAATTAGTGCTAGATGGTTACTAAGATCCTCTTCAACTCTAAAACCTAACTCTTCTTTAAGGAGGACCAATAAGCATATAAAAAAGGAAAACAGCAGGCATTATACTTTTAGATTTTCCAGTAGCAAATCGAATCTATCCAGATTCTAATATTAGAAGAGAATGGGAAAATCACCCAGCACAATCACATCTCATTTTATTTTACATGTCGACAAATATTCATTGAGTGTCTACTCTGTGATGCTGGGGATATTTCACAAAACAAAGGAAATACCTGCCTTCACAGACCTTATTAAATTTAATAAGCAATCACAATAAAGTGTGCTAAGTGCTAAGATGGAAAAGAAGGATGCTGTAACAGGAAGAGTATGTACATAACGCATTATGGAAGGCTCTTCTCAATACAGTCATGGCTTATGTTGAGACCTGAAAGGATACGTAGTGGTTACTTAGGAAAGGGGTCCGGAGGGAAGTGGTGCAGGAGGAGGGAGCACCACGTGAAAAGGTGTGGAGCTGGGAGAGAGCTGGCTAGCCTGGCACCTGTGGCTGGACTGTCCGGAACAAGGGATGAAGTGAGAAGTGAAAAGAGAGGCAGTTGCTGTGTCACTCAAAGCCTTGCATAAGAACATAACAAGAAGTTTTGCTTCAGGCTTTCTAGCAAAGGTTTGTGTAGGCAAGTGATGGAATCAGATAAACATTTCCAAAAAGATTACCCTGGCTGTGATGTGGAGAACAGATTGTAGGGCAGCAAAACCCAGAGCAGGAAATCACTGGGAGGCTATTACAGGAATCTAGACAAAAAGACAGTGGCCTGAACTTGAATATGAACAGCAGGTACGAAGAGATATTTAGAAGCTAAGCCCAGCCGGTGTGGCTCAGTGGCTGAGTGTTGACCTATGAACCAAGAGGTCACAATTCAATTCCTGGGCAGGGCACATGTCCAGGTTGTGGGCTCCATTCCCAGTAGGGGGCATGCAGCCAATCAATGATTCTCTCTCATCATTGATGTTTTTCTCTTTCTCCTCGTCTCCCTTCCTCTCTGAAATCAATAAAAATATATTTTTTTAAAAACTTGATGATTAAGCAGTTGGGGGTGGGGTGGGGTGAGGAATTAAAAATGATTCCTAACCCTGACTGGTTTGGCTCAGTGGATAGAGCGTCGGCCTGTGGACTGAGGGGTCCCAGGTTCAATTCCAGTCGGGGGCATGTACCTTGGTTGCAGGCACATCCCCAGTGGGAGGTGTGCAGGAGGCAGCTGATCGATGTTTCTCTCTCATTGATGTTTCTGGCTCTCTGTCCTTCTCCCTTCCTCTCTGTAAAAAAAAATCAATAAAATATATTTTAAAAAAAAATGATTCCTAGACATCCAGCTTAAGAAATTGGGTAGAAAATTTTCCATTGTGTTTGCTAAGAGGATTGGATATAAACCCGCAGTTGCTGGGAGGCGTTCTGCCTTCATTTGGAAAGAAGCTGCCTGAGAATGAAACCACACAGAGGAAAACACAGCTAAGAGACAGGGGTGAAGCTGTTTGTGACAACCTTATTTCACGTCTTGAGACCAGCTGTCCCTGATCTATCCCTGGACTTTTCAGGCATATGAATCATGCATTTTCTTCGTCGTGGTTTTTGGTGCTGGTGGTTTGGTGAGTTGGTTGTTTAGTTCACTTTGAGTTGGGGTTCTGTCACGTGGAACCAAGAGAGTTATGGGAAGAGTGGGGACAGTGACAGCAGAAAGCCCAAGGTAGAACTACCACTGAAGACAAGACACTGAGGAAGTTGAGCCTGAGAAAGCAAGAGGAGAAGCCCAGGAAAGTACAATGCCAAAGAGAGGCATGTGGTCAGTAAAGGCAGGTGCTATTGAGAGATAAGACAATTACTAAGACGTAAGCATTGGCTTTACCAACAAGGCAGTAGCCGGTGGCCTTAGTGAGGAAGGTTTCCATGGAGGGATGGGAGTAGAAACCAACTGAAGGAGGCTGAAGAGTTGAAGGAGGAAGAACAGTGAACAGAAACGGTTCTATAGCTGTGTTGTGAAGGGGCGGGTTGCCAGAGGGAGATGTTTTCAGATTGATGAGATAGAAGAATGTGTAAAGGATGCGGCCCGTTTGAAATGAATAAAACTAAAAAAAAAAAAAAAAAGACCATACCCTTTTATGTAATGATGTTTACTTTGAATTTATATTAGTTCACACAAACACTCCATCCATGCTTTTGTTCCGGCCCTCCGGTCCAGTTTAAGAACCCATTGTGGCCCTCGAGTCAAAAAGTTTGCCCACCCCTGTTCTAGATGAAAATGGACACCGTTGTTCATGGTGTCCAGAAATTGTTAATGTGGCTGCATTGAGAACACAGGTTATATTTCCATCACAGTAACTTTATTGTAGTGGTGACAATGAGATCTGTAACATAAAAAACAAACAAAAAAAAAAACAAACTCACAGAGACCAGATTTCTGAGCCTGCTTCTTCAATAAGTTCTAATCCCAGATTTGCTGAGCTCGAAGAGTTTGTAAATAGATGGTCCAGCCCATGCCCTCTCTCGCTCCTCAACCTGTCTGTGTTGGCCCTGATATAGCCTGCCACATCTTTTGTCCATGGGCCCAAAACTGAGGCCCATGGGAATTTTGCTCCTTCTGGATCCCATCTCTATAACTCACCTCTGGGCCATCTTGCTTACACTGAGGTGGCTTAGTTTGTGCTCTGCAGCTGCCCTGAGCCCTGGAGGTCTATTTTCGATCAGGGGTCAGAAAATACTTTCTATAAAGAGCCACACGGTCAATATGTTAGGCTTTGCGGGCCTATTTCTGTCACAACTATTCAACTCTGCTGTTGTATCAAGAAAGTAGCCACAGACAATATGTGAAAAGGATATGGCTGTGTTCCAATAAAACTTACGGACACTGAAATTCAAATTTTATATCATTTTCTTTCTTTTTTAATTTATTAATTTGAGAAAGAGAGAGAAGGAGTGAGAGAGAAACAATGATTTGTTGTTCCACTTATTTATGCATTCATTGGTTATTTCTTGTATGTGCCCTGACCGGGGATTGAACTTGCAACCTTAGTGTATTGGGGTTGACTCTTTCACCAATTGAGCTACCAGGTCAGGATTTATATCATTTTCATATGTCATGAAATATTCTTCTTCTTTTTATTTTTCAACCATTTAAATATGTAAAAACCATTCTTAGCTCAACAACTGTATACAAACAGTGGGCCAGATGTTTCCAGTGACCTAGAGTTTGCCGACTCCTGTTCTAGACACTAATCCCCAGGGCAAAGATGGCCTCTTTCCCTTTTACCTGATCAATTCATTATTATAACTGATACAAGTAATACCAATCTATACCATGTGATGAGCATCTATTAGGTGCCAGGTGGTATGTAGCACAGAGAGCTGCTTTGAAGAATAAATGAAATAATGCACGTAAAGTACTTAACATAATGCTTCATCTGAGTTAAGCATCATTGATTGTTAGCTACTATTACTTTTTTTATTGTTTATATATCTTATCTCTGATCAGTAAAATGACTCATACAAGGTAGATATTAACATCCTATTGAGGATCATAAAAATGAAGTCATTTGTGAAATCACATGCCTATTAAGTAGCAGAGCTAGGAGTAGAACCAGATTTATCTGACTTCAAAGTCCCTGACCTTCCCACTGCAGCACAACCTGTTTATCTGCAGCACATTCACAGGCTGGTGGTGAACTGCTGACCTACCCAGCAGCAGCAGGCATTTATGCCCCTAGAGCCTGCCATCTTGTGACAAGAGTAGCACAGGGCTTATTCTATTCTTGCTTCAAAGCTTAAGTGCCTGTTGGACCACTTAGTTCTTGTTTCCTGCCAAGGGATCCTCTCGCCCCACGAGAACAGTCAAGATGACAGAGCTCAATAGGCAATTAGGCCTTTTCCCGCTCGGCTATCCTATTCTGCCCGAGTTTCCAGGTTCTTCTGACTCATACTTAGGTAACTTCCTGCAAGTGACACTCCCAGAATCCTACCCCTGCAGCATTCTAACAGAAAAATACTTTACACGTTCGTGATAACTGCAGATGCTTTCTGCCAAAGGTAAGAAGAGTGCTGTTGCATAAAAACCATTCGTCTGCATGACGTTTTTAGAGTTGTCCATAAAATGTTACTAAAGATATTGTACATAGCTTCAAAATTATATTCAAGGGAGCCCATGTGATAAATCCTTCCTTGAATTTAGATCCAGAAAAAAAAAAGTCTCAATCATTGAATCTGTATATTTTATCTCGTCAGAAAAGAAAACCTGTTTCCTTTTATATCGTGGCTTCCAAGAAATCTAAAGCTAAATTCCATGCCAAAATGTCTCATCTCAGCTGCCTGATAGGACCTATTTCTACTTCACTGCTATGACCGCTTCTATGTTTTATAATTTTAAAACTAGCTAGAATATATTGTGTGTGTCTCCTATATGCCATGCATTGCGCCTTCCCTGCTGCGCCTCTCCTTAAATGGTTTGAAATGGTGCTTGTTTTACTAAACTAGTGCCTTATTTTGCAAGTTATGTTTTACCTTGCATCCTACACCCCAGGTCTCCTAGAAGCAGCAGGAGATACTGGATTTTTTTAAAAAGGGGCTTGCCCTGGTCTGGTGGTTCAGTTGGTTGGAGCATCATCCCATACACCAAAAGGTTGGAGGTTCAATCCTGGTTGGGGTGCATACGGCAGGCAATGGACTGATGTTTCTCTCTCAATCAAAGTCCCCCCCCCCCTTCTCAAATCCTCGGGTGAGAATTTTAAAAGTGTGTGTGGTTGGGGGGGGGGGGGCCTCTATTCACAATTTGAACATAGTTGTAAAGAGCCAACTTGGCTTTCTCCTTAGAGGCCACAAGATGGGGATGTCATTCCACAAAAATCAGAGTTTTCCCACACTGCACTGTCTTCTATATCTCTTCCCCTTTCTTTGCACCTTTCTTTGTCTGCATGTATCACTCTGATCCTCCATGCAGGCATTAGGAACGCCAGGCAGCCCCCACCTTTGGTCTGTGCCAAGGGTGAGTTACATGAGCAGGACTCCAAGCCTTCTGCACCTGTAGCCCTAGACATGGTCCTAATGAGAATCCTTCAGCTCTGGGTGGCTTCCTCATTGGAATCACAACTCCCTTCGGCATTTGACACCCTGCCACTTGACCTCATATCAGCTCCCCTCCGACTCTACCTGTTCTCCTAACACCTTTCCAGGAGACATAACTGAGAGCTGATGTCCAAGGGTGACTGGCAGAGCGGCTAGGGTAAGGCTGGCAGACAGTTGTTTCTAGACAGAAACACTGGAAACTGGAGAGGATACTTCGAACAACACGGTCCCTCGAATATCTGAGAATGAATGGATGAATGAACTAACTCTAACTCATCACCACTTTCCCCTAAATACCTAGACAAAGCCAGCAACCAGCCACTGAATTCTAAGCACTCAAATTTCTTCAGTAATTGGTAAGCCTATGAATCTGCTGTATCAAGGGCGATAAAGACGGAAAGCTTGGTTTCTCTTTCTGCTTAAATATGAAAACCACCTCTGTCTGTTGGCCCAAAGTTTTTGCTTTGAACTCTCCCCTTGCCTGAATTTGCTCTGTGACTCTGGGAAAATCGCTCGATAACTCTGGGCCTCACTGTTTTCCTCTGTAAAACTGGAGATGTCACTAAATGGTGTCTCCGGTACCTTCCAGCCTGACACGTCTGCGATCTGTCTCTAGGCATCCAGCTAGCATCCTTTTCTTGGGCGGGTTTCATGAGATGTGTTTCACTTTTGGAGTGAATTATGGGGCGCAGCTACAGTGTTTGGACAGGTTCAAGCCTTGGACTGAGGAGAGGCACAGTCCTCTCATTGCCACGTACAAGTCCCAGCTTGGAGGGGCAGAGCCTTCCCAGCACAATTATAGCCAACGGCTGTAGTTGTGAGCTTGAACCTATGGTCCGGACACATGGCCCCACGTGCCTGTGTGATAGAGTTCAGGTGCATGTAGTTGAGTAGAATTGAAACCAATGAGAATGTTGTAAACATCTTGATCACGTCCTTACTTTGCCTCGTGGCATCTACTATAAAATAAAGACACAGCTTGTGGGCGCCCTCCATCAGAGGAGCGGCGTCCCACTGAGACCCAGCTTTCATTCTCTTGTCTATCCTTTCTAAGCCTTTCATCACCTCCACTCGGGGTCACTGAACCAGGCTGAGCTGGCATGAGTATGCCATGGCCGTGCCGGCTCCCCACAGTGAATTTCCTGGTTGTCCTGCTCACTAATTTATCACATGCCCCTGGACTTAGGTCATCTGTTCATATCATAAAGTTTACAATTTTAACCATTTCTAAATGTACAGTTCAGAGGCATTAAGTACATAAGCATTATTGTACAAAAATCACCCCCATCCATCTCGGTATCTCTTTTCATCTTTCCAAACTGAAACTCTCTCCCCATTAAACAGCAACTTCCCATTCCCCTCGCCTCCTGGCCTCTGGCAACCACCATTCTACTCTTCATTTCTATAAATGTGACCAAAAGTGGAATTGTACAGTGTGTCCTTTTGTGACTGGCTGATTTCACTCAGCAGAATGTCCTCCAAGTTCATCTGTTGTAGCAGATGTCAGGATTTCCTTCCTTTTTAAGGCTGAATAATAGCTCATTGTATGGATATACCACATCTTATTTACCCATTCCTCCACTGATGGACATCTGAGTTGTTTCCACCTTTTGAGTATTGTAAATAATGCTGCCATGAACATCGGTGTACAGATATGCTTGAGATCCTGCTTTTACTTTTTTTTTTAATATATTTTATTGATTTTTTACAGAGAGGAAGGGAGAGAGATAGAGTTAGAAACATCGATCAGCTGCCTCCTGCACATCTCCTATTGGGGATATGCCCGCAACCCAGGTACATGCCCTTGACCGGAATCGAACCTGGGACCTTCCAGTCCGCAGGCCAACGCTCTATCCACTGAGCCAAACCGGTTTCGGTCCTGCTTTTACTTCTTCGGAGTATATATCCAGAGGTGCAATTGCTGGATCACATAGTAATTCTATGGTCACTATTTTGAGGAACCACCACACTGTTCTGTTCCATGGGACTCTTGCAGAGATGGAAGTGTTTCCTGGGCACTGCGGTCTTACTGCCATGCTGACCCCTGAGAGGTGTTTTCAGGGTATAGGGTTGCCTAGAAGGGTTGTCTTGCCTCATTCTTTAGAGGAGCAGGACCCTCCTGCTATTCAAAATGAGTCCTGCACTAGACACTGGACCTAGGGCTGCTCCTTACCCTGCCTCAGTATGGACGTCTGTAAAGTGGGCTAATAATACCTAATTTATAGTGCGTTTTATAAAGGTCAGGGATGATGATCACTAAGCACTGAGGTAAGCTTACAAAATGAAGATGTGAATATTAACCTG